CACTTTTGTTATGATTGTAGCAGTCGTTATGTCGTCGTCGGTGAGAGGTCCACATGCCAGATGGGCTCGATTAATGAATTCTGAGTACAAAAGAATTGGAAGCCACCGAAACCAAGGCGTCACGGCGGATGGAGTCGAAAAGCTCAATGTAGAAACCTGTATGAAATAGGAATCATGCGAATGGGAATGCAATGGAGGATGATGTGACATGGACGGAATGAATGAAAAGGATGTTGGAGATGTCGGTGGTGCATCGAGATGCATTAGGTAAGTTGGGGTTCTTCGAAGATCTAGATTCTAGATCGACAAGACTCCACAACACCTTCGCTGAATGGGCGCCTGATTCGGGCTGCTCATACGATTTCTGTTTTCGTCCATTTGTGGGCACAGAAGAAGTCGAACCCAATCTTCTTTTTGGGTTTAATCTCTATCTTTGCGCTCAAACTTCTTTGCGGCGAACAGGGCAATCGCAGCGACGATGTTGGCGCCTCCGGCTAGTCCAATCCCAATCTTGAACACGTCTACTCCAGTTCGATGTAAGACTTCTTGAGAGTAATTGTCGAGTGCGAATGCGCTTGGTGCAGCTACGAGTGTGATGGGCGCTGTGACCATCCAAATGATGGACAGTGAATCGTGAAAGTCTTTGAGCCCGACTATCTCGGAGAGTAAAGGACCTAAAGCCGAGAAGAATATTCCACTTAATATTCCCTAGAAGAAACGTTAGCTCGCTTGCCGAATAAAGAAAACACTACATACATTGATCAGTGCAAAGAATATCATGAGACCATAAGATGTTGCAAACATCCATATACATAGACAGGTTATTCCTGAAAAGAATGTGACGACCGAAGCCATATTGATGCGACCTACCATTGGGAAGAGAAGTCAGTCTTAGCCAGAGTGATTCCCGAGAAATCGGGGGAAATGAAGATTGAAGAACGTACCGAAAAAGTCAAGCACGAGTCCCAGAGCTGGGCGCCCTACTAGTTGTCCAGCCGCCATAGCAGCTTGGATGGATGCACCCTGCGCCTGGCTGAGTCCCATACCCGCCGTTGTGTAGGTTGCAATGGAGAACAACGGTATCATATATCCAAGCATCACAAAGAACGACCAAAAGCATGCCAACAGCAAACCCGGATTGCGAAGAAGCTTGACGTGGATCGCCTTGAACCTTGGATTGATAACGTGCATACGGGCTGTTTAAAGGATGGTGTAAAAATGATTTGATCTCTCTGAGTATGTGGAGAAAACTCACGTTTGAATAGGATAGTCGTTGGGGTGAGTATAGTGAAGACGACGACTCCATTGATCACGTAGGACCATCGTATTCCGAGATTAGCTAGTGCTGCTCGAGTGGTAAAGCTGAAGATGAGGCCTCCTGCTCCTACACCAGCAGAGCTGAGACCCATGGCCAATGCACGGCGGGTTTGGAACCATTGAGAGATGAGTGGCTGAGTCGCCATAAAGTTCTGTATAAGAACGCATTGGTCAGAGAAGAGTATGGATCACGATAGAGTTTGGAAAAGCTGGGGGTAACTGGGGGTAGAGGCAAATGATTGGAAAGGAAGGGTAGTCAATGCTCACCCAACCAATGCCGATGCCACACATAAGACCTTGAGTTAGGAATAATTGCCATAGCTTCCCGCTGAAACCGGCCAATATAAAACCAAGTGCCAATATAGTTTGGGCAAACATCAGATTGACTAATTGTGAGTTAGTTTCAGGAATCATACATCTATGTCCACCGCTTAAAGGTTCTAGAGACTTACCTCGGAGTGGTAGTCGCTTGCAGAGGTAGCTGGTGAATGGGGAAATGGAGAACGCGCTGCTAACTGCGACACCCGCGACCCACGCATACTGGACCGACGCTCCCGGGTATGTATCATGTTGCTTGAACCAAGAAATGTATACGCCACTGTACATACGAGGCCCAGGTCGGTCATTACGCCTTACATCAGGGTAGAGGACGGATGGCAAAAGACGTACTAGACTGTCATCATCCCCCAAGTAGCAAGTTGGCTGAAAAATTGGCAAATTACTATGATCCATCCGTACTCGCCGTCCGGAATCGGGCCTTGGTCGAATACGACCTTCTCGGTCTTGTCATTTCTCTCAATTGCGGCTGCTGTCTGCATGTCCGCCTAAACACGGTCGCAAATAGTTAGTTCTGACGTATTCTTTATTCCACGAAGATTTTAATGATTCCAAGGATGACTTAGACTAGGAGTGGGCTGTGGCATGATCGGTAACTGACCGGCAACTCTGACTCTTTCGATACCTCTTGCTGTTCGGCTTCAGTGCTCTCTTGCACGATCGTAGACGGTTGTTCAATAAGGGTCGATGTTCCGGATTCTAGATCCTTGTCATTCGGCCGAACAGAGCTTGATTTTTCCTTTCGACATGACTCGTCCTTCGAGTCTCCCTTTAAAAAGTTCATCATGCGTAATGATTCTAGCTTAAGAGACTAGAACGGCGCGAAGGACAGAGATGATACTGATTGCCACAGGATGGAGGCACAACGAGATCGACAAGCGATTTGTGGTACGTCTTTGAGGTGGTGCGGGTGAGGAGTTCCGCCCTCCAACGGCTCATTTATATATCCACGCAATGTTGAATCATTCGAATATCATGAGACGAATTGATCTGCTAAGCAACTCCGTTTTCTTGCTTGGTCTTGGTCAGCAAGCCACCTGAAGGTCGGCTTCGCTCGGCTTGCTATTAGGGTGCTGGTATGACGGTCGAATTAGCCAACGGTCTGCTATTCATAGCGACACTACCATCAAAAAATGCATAATAATTACCAACAGCATAACCACGTCTCTGAGAGTCGTCGAAATGACGCTTGGATAACCGGTCCTCTGAACGTTTGAATGGCATCGACGACGCGCATAACCTCCACCCCTGCAGATGACCGCCGCCAGTGATCTAGACTCGCGTCATACAATTGTCAAGCTGGGATTGTGCGCCATTTTGAGTAATTCGGTTCTGTAATCTCGTCGAACCTCCGTACGAGATGTCGAAGTGCGAAATCTAATAGAGTTCCTTTCGGGTTATGCACGCCCCGCCTTTTGAGCAGCTATGGCATGTTTCATCGTTATGAACGCTTTCCAAGATGGCTGAGAAGATGTTCCCGCCGTTTGTTGTGCGGACAGAATTAATGTCCCAATTATGGAGGGGCGAAAGACAACAGCTGCCGTGTCGATCCTTTGTCTTTGCCTTGTCTCTTGTCTCTCTGGCGCATTCCGCGCTGTCTCCATAAACGACGCTTTATTCTCGCTCTTTGACGCATAGAAAAGTCGTTATGCATATGGAAATTTTGTTAGCGAGTCCAAGGGTGCCTTATTATACGGCTCAGGGTTGCCATTGCCCCCCTCGAGGTCTCGGTTAGCCCGTCCACCTGCTTCCAAACACCCTGCTTGTTCATCTCTCCCCTCTCCACTCGTCCATTAGTTCTCCACGATATCTTACTCTCCTTCATAAACTATCGACACCCTCCTGGCGACACACACTGCCCCCTTTGTACATTCACCGAAACTGTCGTGGCCACCCTTTGTTTCTACCGATCCTGCCGGCATATAGCGCAGCAAACCATCGCCAGGACTCGTCCGCTTTTTGGAGGAGTAGAGGGTGTATATACTGTACAGTAAACAGAACGCCCACGAATAGCCCTGTATGTTTCCCCTCCCTTCTCGTACCTTTCAGGTTCATGAGCTCATTTTTACTCGAGAGCGTAGGCATACTAGGAAACACATCTATTTACTCTTTTTTATCGACGTTACCTATCACAGTGAGCTTAGTTTGCTCTGTATCGTCCTATGGAAGCTAATTCGACCAGACATGAACATGACATCGAACACCACTACCAGCCCCCAAGTCGTCCTCCCATCCCTCTGTTTCTGTATGTCATCCAGGTTCGCGAGCTCTATCAAATGTCATTAACGCAACCCTTTGCAGGTGGACATTCGCAGCACCCTGGTTCCTATTATTGTTCTCCCCAATGTGCCCGAGAGGACGCTCTCAATGCCCTCACCTTGGGGATTCCTCACGAATCAAAACCTGCGTTCCCCCCACTACCGACGCTACCAGCCGACTTCTTCAAATCCCCACCGAGGACTCTCGACAATGTCGACCTCGACTTCTGTGTCAACCTCGATCATGGCCCATTCGAAAGTGGCGTCAGCGCCCGCCAACCCAAGTCGACGTTGCCGAAGGTCAAGAAGAGGAAGAATAGGCAGATGACCCAGAAAGACGAGGGGGTAACGAGTATTCCCGAGTCGGCCCCTCGATCAACTACTCGGTCGGCAGCCAGCACAGCCCATCGCTCGAAAGCCACCCCCTGGAAAAGTCATTACCAACGCACTCAGGCGAGGAAGAGTGCCACCGAAAAGTCGACAGACGGCCCTTTCTTCCTTGTGGATGATGCCGAGGAAGATTGCGAGAAGACCCTCAAGGAGATCGATCGTCGCTCTGTCCCGGATGTACGGTCGGATGTGCTCGACAGGTCGGCGGCAATCCCCTCTGCATCCGACACCTGCATTGTCGAGGTCGTTGACAGTAGCAACAGTTTACTTCGGGTGGGAAGCTTTGGCCCCATTGTTGGCTCGGCTCCGGCGTTCACTTGCGACCCGACCGAACGGTCAGCGGCATTGGAGCCTCAAAGCGAGAATGTCTCATCAATGAGTGATCGAAAGTCTGAAGACTCTAGAGGTCGCTATCACCGTTCCTCAGCGTCGTCCTACAACTCGCTCCTCACCTCCGGCACATCCCGCTCCTCTTATACGAACCTATCTGTATCACCGAATTCTTCCCCCACAAAATTAGAACACTCCCCTTCATCCCCTCCTGTGAGTTTGAAGCCTCGATATGGGTCGGCCTTTGGGCCGCCGTCCGAATTCGAGATGCCCATAAGGGTCGAGGAACACGCTTTTCCGAATACCGGCGGTATCTCTACTGGTTATCTACTTGATAAGCGAGAGATCTGTTCTCAAGAAAGCATGATTGATATACCCTCAATCGTGCGGTCTGCACCTCCTGAGCGTTCGGATGCGGCCAAAGCGCCTTGGGAACGCGACGTTGGCCAGCCCACCTTAGGTATGGCAAAGTCGGACCCAATCACCAAGTCACCCAAGTCGGCTTCCACTGGGATCCCCATCATTCGAATTGCTTCGCCAACTCCTTTCTTGACCAGCACCAAGGGTGGCCCATTGGTCCGTGTGTCTCAATGGCCACCCTTTGCTTCGGCTCCGATACGACCAGAAGTCACCACGCAAATGTCAAAGTCTAGCTCAACCACCCATTACCAGCAGCCGATCGCTACCGCTCTGCTACCTCAAGTCGG